AGAGTCAGGCCACTGGCACACCATCTTAACCACTGTGAACATGCTGTTGCCATTCTAAATTGTAGACTAGGAAATGGAAGTCTTTATTTGTTTATTCACCGCAATTTGAAGAGCAGTCAAACTAACGGATAATGGAATAAATCGAAGAATAAGTAAGCAGCTCTAGGAATTATTTCCGGTTTGTTGTGTTAGTAGGCTCTTAAAAACAATATACCTCGAGTAAAAGTGATAGCACGGTAAATCAATGTTGTCATTCCGAGAAAGCAACGAAACAAACAAACAAATTCTTAACCACCAGTTCAAAACAAACAGATTAACACACAAGAATCAAGTTACCGTTTTAAGACCTTTCTCGACGTAAATTAACAGAAGGGGTTTTCAGCTCCGCCCCTGTCTCTTGCGTGAGTTCTCAGTAAGCTTGACCGATCGAATTTGCCTAGGAGTCCTAGTTGTAAATTTTACAATTCTGATTTCCTAATATTTTAACTCAAAACTGATGCTAATAAGTGTTTATTCACTGTTTATTGAAGCCTTGACTGAAACGACACGTTTTCTGAAGACCATTGTTCAATTCATAAAACACGTCAAAAAAAAAAAAAAAGGAAATAGGATACCTCTTAACGAAAAAAAGAGGATTCCTCAAGGGATTGAAAGTAAAATATTTCTGGCATGTGTACAAGAGGGTTGGGAGAAAATATTTCTTAAATCAGCCTTCCATTAAACTATCGATGACGTTTGTATCAGGTCATTGATCTAGTGAAGAGTCAAAATCATTACATTACACCTCTTGGTCTTCAAAACAGACGAAACTCCCTAACGGTAAATTAGTATCTTTTCAAGTGGCGTTCAGGTGAGATTTGTACTTAAGATAGATATATGTACATTAGAAAAAAAATAATTTGTTTGTTATTACTAAAGGAAAAATCTGCAACATTATTAAGATATCCTTTCCCTAATGGTCAAGGTCATAGGAGTAATTTGAACTGCTGAAGAATGCCACCATCTCGTGAACAGAGCTTTAGATTTATTCGGCAAAGTTTTCGACTAATACGCTGCAATTGCAACGAGAAGTACGTCTTAAAATTTACTTTTTTCAGTTTCTTTAAAATTTAGCTTCGCGAAAATGAAAAAATTAGTTACTTAATGTAGGCGTGACCCTACCTGCCAAGAATGGTCGAAGGTGATCGAGTTACTCAGATGTTTTACTGGGCCTGTGAAAATTTACCGCTATCAAAGTTTCGAAAACTAAAACTCGCGTTAAGTTAATTCCTTGATGAACACGGAATTTTTTTATTTTGTTTACGTTGCTACAGTTTATTATTTGATTATATATACTGTTAGAAAATAATAAATATACTCTCATAATTCCCTTATTCTTGACATCTTAAACAAAGACGCTTTTTGCATATTGCAAGATTGAGTCATGTTGGGACGCGAGTGACTGCTCGAANTCTGCAACGTTATTAAGATATCCTTTCCCTAATGGTCAAGGTCATATGAGTAATTTGAACTGCTGAAGAATGCCACCATCTCGTGAACAGAGCTTTAGATTTATTCAGCAAAGTTTTCGACTAATACGCTGCAATTGCAACGAGAAGTACGTCTTAAAATTGACTTTTTTCAGTTTCTTTAAAATTTAGCTTCGCGAAAACGTAAAAACTAGTTACTTAATGTAGGCGTGACCCTACCTGCCAAGAATGGTCGAAGGTGATTGAGTTACTCAGATGTTTTACTGGGCCTGTGAAAATTTACCGCTATCAAAGTTTCGAAAACTAAGACTCGCGTTAAGTTAATTCCTTGATCAACACGGAATTTTTTTATTTTGTTCCCGTTGCTACAGTTTATTATTTGATTATATATACTTTTAGAAAATAATAAATATACTCTCATAATTCCCTTATTCTTGGCATCTTAAACAAAGACGCTTTTTGCATATTGCAAGATTGAGT